CATAACGATAAGTGCGATAAAAATTTATACGTAGGAGTACAGAACCTACCCCTGCAGCGTGACATATCCCCTGATCGTTAACCGAACCGACAAACTGAATAGTACTGTTAGTTAACCAGTTAAGCAACCGGTTAAGCAACTGGTTGGTCAAGAGCCGATTGATAACTGAATAATACCTCTTACTAACCATAAAATTTATTTTTTTTGTATTCATTTGTATTTATTACTATAATACCGGATCTGATTATAAATTTTGTTAGTATTCATTAGAATATTTTGAATTTGAATCACTTTTAACAAAAAATTTATTTATTTTAAAAAAAATCTTAAAATAACATTTCATAAAATTGCTATATAAAATGACTATTTTAAAGCAACAAAAAAACTGTTCATATAATATAAACCTGTGTATATCGAATAGAACATTAAACAATTAATTTTTTATTAATTGTTAATAATCGTTAAAAGAATGAAATATAATAGGTATTAACGGTTAAATGTGGTAATCAAAAAATTATCACGGTTTATATTGCAGATCATAGAACATATTTGGTGACCGATATATCTAATTTCGTGTGATTATCTCAGCCTCAAAATATTTAGATAGTGTGAGTTGAAATTCGTACGTACGTTATATAGAATAAATGTATGGTTGTTGCATTCTGATACGTTATCGCAATACAGTATGTATACGTACGTACGTATCATGAGTTTATTAGCCGAATTTGGTATATTATAATAGATTTCTATACAATTATATTCAAGCCTCACAGGAAGCTTGTATGCATTTGTGGTGAATTCTGTTTAAGGTTAAATAAGCAGATTTTATGTGCGACTAGAAATAGATACAAATATACTAAGGTTCCGACACGTTCTAAAAATTCCAAAATGATTTTTGAGCATAGTGTTTTTTTTTATGAATAGTTCAAATAATTTAAGCACTTTCTCTTAATGAGGAAATTGAAAACGTTACCAGTGAAAAGAGGGAAATGACATTTTAATATAAAAGATATGAAAAAATATGATATACTGTAATCTTTACATCTTGGAGATTTTACTTTTTTTCAAAAAAATGCCTGAAACCGAAGTAGTTGCCGTCGTCATTGAGCACTCTTTCTATATAAAGGGAAGAATATTTGAAGTAGATGTTGTGGAACTACTAAAAAGTCTTGGAGTTAATGTTAAGCATGTAGGGTGAGTTTCTATTCTCATTGGGTATTTGTCGAGTTATCGTGTATCCGAAGGTACGCTGTCACTAGGTGTAAAATCGAATAGAATTGAAAGCGCATCGTGGCCACCATTATATGATGGTGAACGTTCTTCTGTTCGTATCCGAAAGCTACCCTATATAATATAGAGAGGCTGGGTCCGGCACCCAGGGCTGTGGTGAATAGGATATACGCTAATTACTGGAAACACATCACCGTAGACTATTCCGGCGTGCGATCTTTAATTGTTAATGACGATGACACATTTACTCACTTTTGTTCATTGATAGGGGGCGTAACGACGGAGGGATAGATATAATTGGAGAAATAGGTGAGGTTACGGTCTTGTTCCAGTGCAAGAATTGGGATAATCCGATAGGTAGGCTTTAGCGTTAATTTATGCTTGATCCAAAGAATTATGCTAACTGAAAGTAATATAGGACCCTCCGTCGTTCGTGAAATGAGAGGTGTGGTATGTCAAGAAAATCCAGGTACGATCGGTATCCTGGTCGCCCCCTGCCTTACTTTTACTGATTTTGCTATAGATGAATCAAGAAAATCTAGATATCCTGTCATATTGACGGATAAATCTCACCTCCCCAAAATCATCATTAATCTCGTAATAGACTTCCTCCAAAATAGACGATACGATTTTGCCTTCTATCACGATCTT